TCCAAGTCATGAAAATTAAGGCTTGTGTGTCAGAAAGATATTGTCATCTACCCCAGTCCAAGTCATGAAAATTAAGGCTTGTGTGGCAGAAAGACATTATTATCTACCCCTGTCCAAGTCATGAAAATTAAGGCTTGTGTGGCAGAAAGACATTATTATCTACCCCTGTCCAAGTCTAGAAAATTAAGGCTTGTGTGGCATAAAAACATTACATGTATTATATACCTGTACCACTGTCCAAGTCAAGAATATTAGGGCTTGTGTGGCAGAAAGACATTATTGTCTACCCCAGTCCAAGTCAAGAAAATTAAGGCTTGTGTTGCTAGAAAGATATTGTCATCTACCCCAGTCCAAGTCAAGAAAATTAAGGCTTGTGTGGCAGAAAAACATTATTGTCTACCCCTGTCCAAGTCATGAAAATTAAGGCTTGTGTGGCATAAAAACATTACATGTATTATATACCTGTACCACTGTCCAAGTCAAGAAAATTAGGGCTTGTGTGGCAGAAAGGCATTATTATCTACCCCAGTCCAAGTCAAGAAAATAATGGGCTTGTGTGGCAGAAAGACATTACATGTATTATATACCTCTGTCCAAGTGATAAAAATTAAGGCTTGTGTGGCATAAAAAAACATTACATACCTCTGTCCAAGTCAAGAAAATTAGGGCTTGTGTGGCAGAAAGATATTATATACCTGTACCACTGTCCAAGTCAAGAAAATTAGGGCTTGTGTGGCAGAAAGGCATTATTATCTACCCCAGTCCAGGTCAAGAAAATAATGGGCTTGTGTGGCAGAAAGACATTACATGTATTATCTACTCCAGTCCAAGTCAAGAAAATTAAGGCTTGTGTGTCAGAAAGACATTATTATCTTCCCCTGTCCAAGTCAACAAAATTATAGGGCTTGTGTGGCAGAAAGACATTATTGTCTACCCCTGTCCAAGTCAAGAAAATTAGGGCTTGTGTGGCAGAAAGACATTATTGTCTACCCCTGTCCAAGTCAAGAAAATTAAGGCTTGTGTGACAGAAAGACATTATTATCTACCCCTGTCCAAGTCAAGAAAATTAGGGCTTGTGTGGCAGAAAGACATTATTGTCTACCCCAGTCCAAGTCAAGAAAATTAAGGCTTGTGTTGCTAGAAAGATATTGTCATCTACCCCAGTCCAAGTCAAGAAAATTAAGGCTTGTGTGACAGAAAGACGTTATTATCTACCCCTGTCCAAGTCAAGAAAATTAAGGCTTGTGTGGCAGAAAGACATTATTGTCTACCCCTGTCCAAGTCCAGAAAATTAGGGCTTGTGTTGCATAAAAAAAACATTACATGTATTATATACCTCTGTCCAAGTCATGAAAATTAAGGCTTGTGTGTCAGAAAGATATTGTCATCTACCCCAGTCCAAGTCAAGAAAATTAAGGCTTGTGTGGCAGAAAAACATTATTGTCTACCCCAGTCCAAGTCAAGAAAATTAAGGCTTGTGTGGCATAAAAACATTACATGTATTATATACCTGTACCACTGTCCAAGTCAAGAAAATTAGGGCTTGTGTGGCAGAAAGGCATTATTATCTACCCCAGTCCAAGTCAAGAAAATAATGGGCTTGTGTGGCAGAAAGACATTACATGTATTATATACCTCTGTCCAAGTCATGAAAATTAGGGCTTGTGTGGCAGAAAGACATAACATGTATTATATACCTCTGTCCAAGTCATGAAAATTAAGGCTTGTGTGGCAGAAAGACATTATTATCTACTCCAGTCCAAGTCAAGAAAATTAAGGCTTGTGTGTCAGAAAGACATTATTATCTTTCCCTGTCCAAGTCAAGAAAATTAGGGTATGTGTGGCAGAAAGACATTACATGTATTATATACCTCTGTCCAAGTCATGAAAATTAAGGCTTGTGTGGCAGAACGACATTATTGTCTACCCCTGTCCAAGTCAAGAAAATTAGGGCTTGTGTGGCAGAAACACATTATTGTCTACCCCTGTCCAAGTCAAGAAAATTAGGGCTTGTGTGGCTGAAACACATTATTATCTTCCCCAGTCCAAGTCATGAAAATTAAGGCTTGTGTCGCAGAAAGACATTATTGTCTACCCCTGTCCAAGTCAAGAAAATAGAGGCTTGTGTGGCAGAAAGACATCATTATCTACCCCAGTCCAAGTCAAGAAAATTAAGGCTTGTGTGTCAGAAAGACATTATTATCTTCCCCTGTCCAAGTCAAGAAAATTAGGGCATGTGTGGCAGAAAGACATTACATGTATTATATACCTCTGTCCAAGTCATGAAAATTAAGGCTTGTGTGGCAGAAAGACATTACATGTATTATATACCTCTGTCCAAGTCATGAAAATTAAGGCTTGTGTGGCAGAAAGACATTATTATCTACTCCTGTCCAAGTCAAGAAAATTAAGGCTTGTGTGTCAGAAAGACATTATTATCTTTCCCTGTCCAAGTCAAGAAAATTAGGGCATGTGTGGCAGAAAGACATTACATGTATTAAATACCTCTGTCCAAGTCATGAAAATTAAGGCTTGTGTGGCAGAACGACATTATTTTCTACCCCTGTCCAAGTCAAGAAAATTAAGGCTTGTGTGGCAGAAACACATTATTGTCTACCCCTGTCCAAGTCAAGAAAATTAGGGCTTGTGTGGCTGAAACACATTATTATCTACCCCAGTCCAAGTCATGAAAATTAAGGCTTGTGTGGCAGAAAGACATTATTGTCTACCCCTGTCCAAGTCAAGAAAATAGAGGCTTGTGTGGCAGAAAGACATTATTATCTACCCCAGTCCAAGTCAAGAAAATTAAGGCTTGTGTGTCAGAAAGACATTATTATCTTCCCCCGTCCAAGTCAAGAAAATTAGGGCTTGTGTGGCAGAAAGACATTACATGTATTATATACCTCTGTCCAAGTCGTGAAAATTAAGGCTAGTGTGGCAGAACGACATTATTGTCTACCCCTGTCCAATTCAAGAAAATTAAGGCTTGTGTGGCATCAAAAAACATTACATGTATTATATACACTGCACACACAAAACCATCCACCCATGACACACACACACACAGAGCCTTACACTGCCTACTACTTTGCTTACAAATACTACACACTAACAAGTCACACACACACACACACACACAAGTACTGCAGATGAGCATAGTACCTAGCTACCTGGATGTCAACTGTAGATGGCACTATTCCATTTGGCTACTTGGACACAACCCCTCTCTAAAATTTGGACATTTATTTTGGGTTTTTTTTTGGGAGAAACTTTTCTTGTGTGATTAAATCTTAGTTGATTAGAAATGACATGTCAGACATCTTAGACACTGAATATTATAGTTTTCTTGTGTGGCTAGACACACAAGTGTAAAGTGACACACAAGGATATCTCATACGTAAAACTAAACACACAAGCATACCATCGCAAACTCGGACGTACGGACGTACGGACGGACGGACGGACGGACAACCCGAAAACATAATGCCTCCGGCTACTTCGTAACGGAGGCATAAAAAAGTATTCTATGAAGAAACAACGAAGTAATTCCGGTACAAACAGAATGGTTGGCAGCTCTGACTACTGCATTAAACAACTTATGCATACATATTTCACTTCGGATACAGCAGTAACACTTTCAGTTTCAAAACCGTTCCATACAATAATAATCAGCCTCAGCACAATCATCATCACTATCGTTTTTAGAACTAAGGCTGTGCACAACAGTGTAATGAGGTACCCGAGTACACTCCCAGGCTTACAAGCGAATACTCGAATATTCGAACGCCATGTTTTTTTTAAATTTTTTTAAATTTTTTGATTTTTTGATTTTTTGATTTTGTTTAATTTTTTGCCACCACCATACCACTAGTGCAGTATCCCAGCCAAAAACCCATGCAATTTTACTTCGAGTTGCAGTTGAAGGCGCCGATTTAATAATAATAATAACAGTAAACAATGCTGTTTTAAAAACCAACGGCAGAATAATCCATTGTCCTCCGAGTCCAAACAGAAATCTGGACATTTGGTCCCAGTTTCTGAGTAGTGAGTTTGACAGTGCTTGATTTGGGAAACATTTTTACCGACAGTACCATGCCAGCGGCCGCCGCTATCCCTGGCACGAGTAAGTGTCGGCCTGGACGTTTTTTTGTTTTGTGGCCGAATACTCGGGTACGAGAAATCGTACCCGAGTAGTTGTCAACCGTGCGGGTATTCGAGCATTCGACTACCCGTCGCAGCCTTATTTAGAACCACCTCTAACATCATCATTGTCATCATCATCTCCACTACCATCATCATCACTTTCAATTTCATCAATACAGTATTGCAAATACCGCAGTAACAGTGAAACTGTTTGAACAATAATTGTCACCCCTATCACAAATTCACAATCATCACCCTCATGATCATCACTGTCATCATCATCACCCTTGTCACCATCACCAACCTCATCATCACCACCACCATCATCACTGTCATCATCATCACCACCACCACCATCATCATCATCACCACCACCATCATCATCACCACCATCATCACCGTCATCATCATTATCATCACTGTCATCATCATCACCACCACCACCATCATCATCACCGTCATCACCATCACCACCACCATCATCATCACCCTCATCATTATCATCACCACCATCATCATCACCACCACCATCATCACCATCATCACCATTATCAACCTCATCATCATCATCATCATCACCACCACCATCATCATCACCGTCATCACCATCACCACCACCATCATCATCACCCTCATCATTATCATCACCACCATCATCATCACCACCACCATCATCATCACCGTCATCATCATCATCATCTCCACCATCATCACCACCACCATCATCATCATCACCACCATCATCAACCTCATCATCATCATCATCACCATCATCATCATCACCATCATCATCACCATCATCATCACCATCATCACCACCATCATCATCATCTTCATCATCAACCTCACATTCTCACCTGGTCTACGTTTGAGAAGGTGTTCCGATTCATCAGCTGTAATCTTCGATACTGTAGTGAAGACATGAGCTGTCTGAGCGGCAGCTCTCTCCATACAGTAACGATGATAGATACCTCGATCACCAGCTTCTTTATCAAGGTTGAACTGAAGAAGAACAATTGAGGTGTGAATGCAAAGGGAGAGATTTCAGAGATAAGCATTGAGATAAAGAAGGTTGAAAATTGACAAAAATATTATACAGATACAGATATTATACAAATACAGATTGCGATACTTTCATTATCTTAAAGGTACAGACCAGTTTTGGAAACGCCCCCCTCTCAAAAAATGAAATGGAAGCTTTTATTACCAATTATGTGAAAGAATATGTTTTGACTAATTCGTAATGATACAAATTTTGCTGAGAAACGCCTACTAATTGATATATCTGGTAAAATATTATATCTATTTTGACCTGATAGATATAACGCACGTGTCGCGTAGTGCCATATGCATCTTTCTGTGTACAGTGCTTGTAACTTTACCAAGACTGGGCCAAATTTCTTATCATTTTGATGATTCCAGAACCTTGCAGTACACACCGATACTTATATGCTAGATGATCAACCTTTACTGATCGATTCCACAACGTATCTTTCACAATGCAATCGCATGACCATATCTGGTCTTTATTTTAATACCTTGTCCAGGTTGTTGTAGAAGTCTACATTGCCAGCACAGAGGTAACGTCCAAGCAATGTGGCATGGGTGGTAAAGATGGTTGAGATGTCGATATTCTTGAGACGACACAGCAATAGACCGACCCCTGACATCCATTCATGAAACTGCGCTATCAACAGAGGGCGCTCCCACTCCTCAAACTGAGCACGGTACTATGGCATGACAAACAAATACATGCAATCATTACAATCAGTAGCATATTTCTATTTGTGGCTTCATTGTTAATTGCTTATGGTGAGAAAGTTGTTTGTTTTTACAGTTATTCAACAAATCCTCCAATTAGTAGCTGTGTACAGTCAAACCTGTCCATAGCGACCGCTCAAGGGAAACACACAAAGTGGTCTTTGTAGACAGGTTCCTTTAGTACATGTTTCAATGAGAAACCATTTTCAAGGGAAACAAAAATGTGGCCTTTGTAGACAGGTGGTCACTAAAGCAGGTTTGACTGTACCTGGAGAAATTTTACTACTCTTATGTGTTTCACTCTTAAGTATCAAGACAAATTATATATTATTCTTAAACCTACATGTAGTCTGAAAAGCCTACACATTCGACTCCATCAAACTGTATACAGTATATCACTGCATGCTAAGAGTTGTAATTCAGTTCTCATAATATTAAAGCAACAATGACCTTTGTCTTTGTTTTGAAAAAACATGTTCTGTACTATCTACATCCAGAAAGACACAACACGCTTTTTGCAGAAGATGATCACATCAATACCCTATATATTAAGATACCACAGCAACCATGAATGACCTTTCAACTCAATGAACTTTGACCCATTGCCTTCAAAAGATAGGCTTTATCATGCCTAACATTAATAACGAACCATGGCTACATGATAACTGATAGTGATTCTTAGGGGCATTCAGACAGTAGTTTGTAGAAATAAACACTGAAGGATAATGTGTCTCTGATAGGATAACCTTAGTGGAAACTCTATGACCTTTCAACTCTATGACCCTTGACCCATGATACTTACATCAGCCAGAAACCAGGTGCACATGTTGCCAAAGATGATGGCACTGATAACCTTTACCCCAAACTACTACAATACATACAATACCTTAGAGGAAACTCTATGACCTTTCAACTCTATGACCCTTCAACTCTATGACCCTTGACCCATGATACTTACATCAGCCAGAAACCAGGTGCACATGTTGCCAAAGATGATGGCATCATTGCCTTCCTTGTCATGCCAAGGTACTCCAATGTGTGACAGATCAAACAGCTCATTCTTCCAGGTCTCTAGGAATTTAGCCGCAGTTCCAATGTCAAAGAGGACTACGTTGGGTGAGCCGTCAATCAGCCATCGGCCAAACACAGCCTAAAAAAAAATTGAAATTTTGAACTTTAGCAGAGCTGCCAACCTTGTGCGATCAAAAAAGGAACCATGATGGCCAAAAAAAGGAATTAATTAAAACGAAACTTACACCAATGCGCGACACACTTCCAATGCAGAAATGTTCATTCCTCATGCTGTTTTTTCCATAAAAGCACGGGTTTTTTTTTGTGTTGGTTATCATATAACCTGGCCAAAGGCATGGGGAAATCAAGTTTGGGGGATAAAAAGGGAAATTAATGGGACTAAACTATATATAAAGCAAAGAACATGATGTCACAAACTAATAACCAATTTGGTAATTTGTGTAGTGATTTTCATTGTACCATAGTTTTACATACTTTTTCAATAATTCATGATTTTCTTATTAGTAATCCGATTTTGCTCAAACTGTTTTTGATTGGTTTGTCTGATTTTTCTGCTTCTATTGAAAGTATGGTAAGTTATTTTTGGAGTGGACTTGGACTTTAATTGTAATAGAACATACTAGTTTCTGAAAATCTATGATTTCTTCTACAACCATTAGAGAAGTTTACAAGCATATATTCCACAAATCATTTCATGAGAAAAGTTTTCTATCATAGTGCTTCTTTTCAACCATGAGAGCACATGATCATCATCCCGGGATTTTCAAATCAAAATACGAGCAAAAACAGAACAGATTACTTGTATACTAATTTATAATTTCCAAACACAATTTTATATTCACTTAAAATATAAATAAATACATCTTTATCTGCCTTAACTTTTGTAACACTTTTGGGCTCTCATGGAAAATGGTTTATGATGGTTGAACTCAGGCCCCTCTGTTCTTTTTATTTTTCAGACAAACAGTACCTCCTGATGACGGATAGTCAACCTGTTCGAAACGTCGAGCCACTACCGCCACCCATCCTCTCCAAGCGCTATAGTTCTCCTTAGAACTACAAGCTAAGAAAGATAACCAACAGTCTTTTTCAAGACTACACCAACAGTCCTTTTCAGGACTACACACCCTCAAGAAAGATTACCAAGAGTCCTTTTCAGGACTCCTCAATCCTCCCTCTCTCTCTCTCTCTCACATGGCGCACCAGCAAGCCTAATGCATACAGTACCTTGACATTTTGTTCTTTCATTTTGTCCAAGACTGCTTTGATGCGAGGGTTTTCAGGTTCCATGATCTCTACCTCAGTGCGTACTGTGCTCTCATTGTATGGTCCTAACAGGATGTATTGGTCTCCTAGCTCATCTACTGTGTAAGGAGCCTTGGATCGAATCACTGTGTAGATCCCTCCAACTTGTAAAATAGAAACAAGTTACTCAAAGTTAGGAACTGAACTTACATGTACATCAGTGAGTGATATGTTCATGCCCATCCCCTGCACTCCATACCCTCCAACTAAGGATTTTATAACATATTTACAGCAGCCTAACTACTTCGAATGCGATGAACTCGCTGATCTCCGAAAAGCGGAGGGACAACAACAGAGAGAGATATGGGCAATGCAGGTTGTAAACATGCTAATCATTTAATTATTGATGTAAATTCTTCACATGTATTACCATTTCATGAAATCAAGGCCAACAAGTGATAATAATAATAAAATGCATGACAAAAAAGGGAAGCTATTTATAGACCTATCACACTTTAAAAGGCATTTACAGCACTGAAATGTAAAAAATATATCCATCTTGGTCTTTTTTTATATATTTTGAATTTTATTTTTCCATATAAAGCACATCGAAATATATTAATAACAGAATTCATCTCATCATCATGCCATTGTCATAACAAAAAAGTGTAGCATGGGCAGTAATGTAGACCCTGGTAATTTCACCAAAGGACGCTCTGTCTGTGATGAGTCTGTGTGTGGCACAAAAATGAAATCATAATTATTTATGACCTTGACTAAGTACAACACCTACCCTTTTTTTTTTCAAAGCAGACACAAAATCGGACAAAAGGGGATATTAAAAATATCATCCTAACATATTTAAAAGCATAACAATAAATAGAGTCTAGGTTCTTCTAGATCTAGATCTAGAATAGAAGTTTTAGAACATCTTAATAGGCAAATTCATGCAAAAAAATATATTCAAGAAATTGACTTGAAAACACATCAGACAATTAGTCTGAACCGAGTCAGGAGCAAATTTGAAGAAATTATATTTTTAAATGTTGTAAAACCAAAGATATAAGAAGAAAACTGACCAAGTATCTGTACTAAAAATAGTACATGTAAAATTGGTCGTAGACATTCGACAGCTGAAAATGACGCGCACGGTTGTGGTACGTGCGTTCTCGAATCCAAAATCGTATCTCACACACACACTCTCGCCATACCGCGAATGGTCCGTCGTGGGGAGCTAGCCGCCCGAGAGTTTGCCAGCGATACCAATGCACCCTCGGAGCTCCGCAGCGCACAATTTTAGGGGAACTCGAAAGGTTCGAGGTGGGAAGGTGGCGGGCTAGCTTTTTGCCAAAACCACGCTAGAACGTCTGCTGGCAAAGTGAAAATAACTACGATCGAGAACATCGTCGGTTTCAGTGAGATAATTCTGAATTCTAATTGAGACTATATAATAAATTATATCGACAAAGAAACCTCGGTAGATCTCTTATAACTATACAAAAGCTTGTTTATTTCTCGTTTTGACATTTGTTTTCGAGCCATTTTTTCGTGCGCGAGTCAATGCAAACTTTGTATTACCAAACTTTCAACACGCAAGGAACGGGGAACACTCGCGGACCCCGTATCAAATTCGTTGCAAAAAAAATTTTCAAGGGTGATTTTGAAGCAGTAAAGAAAATTTTGCGCTGCGATGCGCAGAAATATACTTGAAAGAAACTTAAAAAATCACACCTGAATTTTCAGAAAATCGTATTTGCATTACCGAGCCTAGTTGTGAGTTGTTTATAACTCAGATTTTATGAAGATTTGTCGGAAAAAAATGTCATTTTTTTCCGTTTGGTGGTCATTTCTAGGCTAATATTTAAAAAGTTGCATCAGTAATGGGCCCGATGTTTCTCTTATCGTACTCGCATGTTATTTCTACATAGATTAAACATAGAGTCTAGGATGGTTAGGGGTAAGACCGGATAACATTATAAAAAAGATATCCTTCCACCCTCCCATATCCAAGTTTTGGGCTGATTATTGCCGACCCACCGCAGCAAGGCCATTCAGATTTTCGTACGCTCGCGAAGCGCCCTCTAGTGCCCCATGAATGTGCCTAATCTTAATCTTATTCTTACATTCATTCCTTCTGTCCAGCTGTTTTTTAAACTGTTGTGCACAAGTGATTAGAGGAACTCAACACAAGAAAAAGATGCAATGGGCAGGAGTCAAGATAACTGCCAAATTGAAATACAAGTTTGCAAGGCCAGGATTGCAGAAATTGGGATTTACAAATAGGCCTAACAAAAGTTAGGTGTCTAGAGTAGAGTCTCCGGTTTGCGGCATCGCCCGGTTTGCGGCCAGGGGTATTTGTTTTAAAAATAAAATGAATATGACTCGATAATAATCATTGAAACCTACCGTGGATTCCACGGTAACTTCTGCTTTGCCGAAAACGTCCGTAGCAGGTGCTCCTGTCGGTACGGAGTATCCGTCAGCGATGTCGGAAATCTACGGCACCAGTCGCCGATGAAAATTCCAGCAGGTGCTAACTTTTAAGTTAAGAGATCGAGGCATGACTAGATCAATATTGTAGCTCTATTTGTCCGATATTTGTCCGATTGGAGGTGAAATTTGATGTTTTTGTGGAAGTATGATGGCTGTGGTCTGTCTCCTATCGCAGATATTTTGATTGTGCCACCGCATGGCCAGTTGCATGGGGTGGCCGCAAACCGGCACGTAATTACGTGTTTTTTCTGGTTTGCGGCGGGGGGTGTTAATACACACATAACATGCGGGATCGTGTATGATGGTATGTGTGCTGATGTGTGTACCCGCTATGACCCGATAATTTCTAGTAGTACTTGCCCCCGGATGGGATGATCCATTCGAGGAAAAGGTGAAATTGTTTAAAACTTGACAAATTTACCGTAGCAACAGATAAACATGAGAATTTGGGTTACCCGTAGTAATTTGGTACATGCTTTCATCGTGACGTAGCGCATAAAGCTTTGTGACGTACGCGTGCCGCAAACCGGTAATGCGTGCCCGCAAACCGGGGAACTCAAAGCATTTCGAAACGTGGTCAATGCTGACCACGCTGTCGGTCAGTTAGGTTATTTGTGACTTCCATTTAATAAGTAAGTATATGGACTCTTTATTGAGGGTATTGAAGTATTCTGTGAGTATTCCAATAAAAATAGAATCGGCAGTTCCCGCCGATCGGCCGCAGACCGGAGCCACTACTCTAGACTAGATCTAGTCTATCAGTATCACCTTTGACTAGGGAGGCCAATGCCCGGGCGTAAGGCTTCTACACCTACGATTTGTGCGCTCGTCGCCCACTTCAAAAAATTAGCAAAGGGAAAAAAATGATGTAAAAATAAAAATTGAAGAAAATATGAAAAGAAAATACAATTATACATTTCACAACATACCTATAATCACGGATCTGTAACAGTCTTTCACCATTTGTTGACAATCTTGCAGATTTTGACGTTTTTTAATCCAATAATTGTGGTTGCAGACGACCTTGACGCACTCGCACCACCGACTAAGAAAATCCTAGAGGGCGTAGAGGTTTGCTCACTAAAAACCTTCTCATTGGCAGAAGGTAGACCCTAAAAATATGGGATCCGTTTTGAGTAAAGAACTTTTGATAGAGATCAACATTTCAGATGTTCACAATTGCCACTTCTAACAACTAGAAAATATAAAGAAAAAGATTATATCTTTTTAAATACAGATTTTTACAAACTGAACATTCGAAAGTAGATAGAGTACGATGTTTCTGTCAATCTTGCGTTGGTTTGAGCCCTATAGCTACATCCATCTCAAAATGAGAAGGAAAACAGTGAACAGTGACGTCATTGTTCGCGCCAAAAATAAAGGGTATTGCGACATAATCTGAGCTCCGGTCAGAGCGTGCCCAAAGCGTAGTCTTATTTATAGACCCTAGTACCTTATTCTCACAGCACTAGATACGAGTGTCGTGCAGTAATGTATGAGAAGTGTTAAAAAAGATATTTCAGTAAAAAAAAAAGTCTACGTGAGCAGTCTATACTCCAATTGAGAATTGAAATGAAAGCCATGATTTGAAGGTGTGTGTTGTATATGATACATGGTTAGTGAGTGTGTATGTTACGTATAGCGAAAGGGAGAGAGAGAGAGAGAGAGAGTGAGAGAAATATTAGTACACGTACGTTGCATGCATGGATGTGCGCTATGATTGTGTTCGCTGCAAGATGGATTTTAATTGGACCTCGTAACTTCTCGATCGTTGATAATAAGGAATACTCATGAGGAAATCAAATTATTGGAATACACATCTAAGGTAAATATCAATGAATTATATATATTTCTTTCCTTTTTTGAACCATCGTCTTCGGCTCGTAGTAGTAGAAGATGTAATCGTTCGCACATTGATGGCTGGACTTCAGCCTGCATCGGGGCTTGCCTGTGTCGGTGGAGGGATCAACTAAGAAGAAGAAGGTGTGTACGTGTGCGACCGATTCAAGGCTAGCCGCTGTTGAGTGATTGCACTTTCGCGCGAAGTTTTAAACTTCATCATGAACTTTGTCCCTCGGGCCTGTCTAATTATGAACGTAACTTTGCGACATGAAATATAATTGTTTCAAGGCTCTTACGTACGGAAAGGCGTAGAAGGAAATGGCTACAAACCAGCTGGATATCTCCTATTTGATGGAACCTATGGAGTCGGCAGATGGGTGGATTTTCTTAGTGAAAGTAAATGCTTTCTTTTAATCTTAGTTTTAGTATAAACAAATTAGTAATTAAAAAGTTAGATTTGGGCATTGGCCTCCCTACTTTGACTTTGTCCTTTAAAAAATAAAAGCACAATTTTGATATTTGTTTACTACTATGATTCCTTTAAAAAGTAATGGTAGTTCTAAATCACAATCACCGCCACAGTTTTATCACTGTCTTGATAACATTAGAAGTCTATTATGAATATGAGTGAGTTTGAGCTTCGCATTGAATTTGAGCCGAGTGACCATTCAACCCTGTTTGATTACATGAATATGAGCACGTGGGACTTAACTACAGTTTGCTACCTTTATTAGCCACCTCCCATGCAACCTCGAAGACGAAACGGTTTTCTTCTTTAGCTGAGGCTCCTCGATCCATATCACCGAGGAAGTGCATCTCGTCGACGTCGACTCCTCCCAACGTCCGGAGCATTTTGGAGCTCCCCCTCCGACTCATTCGTGAAGTCGCCATACTTGCTCTATCGTTTATCACGTCCCTTGGAATATCAACGTCGTGGAAAATCGTACGATCGCGTGTGATCGGTACTGTAGTCTTTTGCATAATTTTATGAACGACCTGATGAAATTTGATAGCAGAAAGATAAATACCGCTGTTTATTTTTTGTTTCAAGAGAATTCTCACTTACGAGAACATAACATGCCTTACTAATAATACTATACTCCCTTTCAATAGATCGGACTTCGACATGAATCTTTTTATGTTTACATAAGAGGTTTAAAGTTCAAAGGAGTCCATCAGAAGTTGATAAGTTCATTTTTCAACCCTGAACTGAGGCCATGCATGAGGGACGTGACATACCCTAGCCCCTAGCCACGTGCCTTCTAGCTTTCTAGCCTTCGATTGTCTCATTTTTCTTTTCACATCTAGACTATAGTTTGTTTATTTTATCTTTCTTTCAACAATTGGATGACTAAATACCAAACAGTGGACATTAAACTCACATATCCCTGCATTATTGAAATTACGAAAGAGGAGAGGAGACCTATGGGGAAAGCTAAAGTAAAAGTAAGGTTCCTCAAACATTTATTTATTAATTAACATTTAATACAAACAATGGTTAACATATATGTAGGCCTATAAACAAGGAAAAGCGGAAAAGAAAGATATGGACATTTATATATATATATATATATATATAATTACCATATAAGTTCATGTGTTTTGGTGATAATTAATCCTGTGTTTGAAAGTTGAACAGTTAACTATTTCGGACATTAATTGCTCACCCGGCCGTCCACCAGACCCATGCATGCAGAGATAGAGACTTTTTTTTAATTTTTTTTAAAGCTGAGTATCTTTTTTTCAGAAACCTGGACAGCTCAGTAAGACTATGTAACGCCCCTTTAGATTACCCCCCCCCCCCCCGGCCCCTCACAAAAGACAAATAATGATACTTGAAATGTATATGTTTTGTTTGTTTTCTGTTTTTGAGAAATTATGTACAGTAAACTTCGGAAGATCGTTAGAAATTGTATTTCTGGGCTTGTCAGAGATTTGTAGAGACTTTTAATCACTTTAAAAAGAACATGCATGGGGCCACCTCTAGCCTTAACCAGGACAAACACCGGGGGCGTTGAAACTTGTCATCAGTGACAAATGACAGTTTTTGATATAAGCTACTGAAATCCTTGCTTCTGATTGGTTTTCAACAGATTTGTCACTGATTTTTGTAATTTGTCATTGAAAAAAGGATTTTGTGAAACACCCTCCGGGACAAATGCGGGGACAAATTGGACAAATGACTACGTTTGCACAAAAGTCTGCGTGTCGTAAAGTAGGTCAATGTTGACTCTGCATATTCTTAACCCATTTTTTATTGTCGCCATCTAGCGGTAAAAACAAGACATGCTTTCGACAATAAAATCCCCGTGTTGAAAGATGTATTAAATAAAGAGGAGAATTATTGCAAGTTTCACTCGCCAATCTCATCCAGCTCTTTAATATACACACTTTTTCGGAAGCCCTTCTCTTTAAAGTTGTGTACTTAAATCATTAACAGTTGGATAATGGAATTATCATGAAACTCGCAAAAATCGTCTCTTTATTATTATTATTATTATTATCTACACAAAAAATTATTGTTTAGCCCGGGTTTAGTATATATTGAGGGAAAACAGCGGTGGTAAATATTTTACGGGTGCACAAATTTTTTTGCGATTCCACGATGCCCCCTTCCAGAATATAAATAAGATTATCATCAAGCAATACAGGCTCAGAAAATTATGAGAAGAAAATAACAATAATGTTAGTGTTACAGGGCCCTAATAGAGAACTGAATGACTAACGAGGCTACCATGGGTAAACAAGACATAATGATAATTATTGTTATCATTATTATCAAACTTGAGCAATGTACGATGAAAATAGAACAAGATATCGGAAATTCTTAACCCTCTCAGATTTGGAATATATATGAGCTATTTTAACTTGAACCTCTCTCCCTCCTTCTCTCTCTTTCTCCCCCCCCCCCCTCTCTCTCTCTCTCTCTCTCTCTCTCTCTCTCTCTCTCTCTCTCAGTCTCTCTTTCTCTTTATCCTTCTGTCTGTCTGTCTCTTTCTTTCTCTCTATCTCCCTTCCTCTCTCTCTCTCTCTCCCTCTCTAGCTCTCCCCCAGTCTCTCTACCCCTCCCTCACTGTGTAAGCTTACCTCGATCTTGACACCTGGATCTCCCTTCTCTCTTTTTTTTTTCTTTCTTTTTTTCTGGAACATCGGGGGAAATAGTGCTAGTTTTGTAACTGCTCTTGCCATAGCGACCAGCCCCTCCCCACTTACAAAACAAAAATAATACTAAAAACTAAAAAATTAATTCATCCATCCATCGAGGTTTTTGGCATGTTAAATGACCGATGAATTGACCCATTTTGCCTCCTAGCTATAGAGTGGAGAGCCTGTGTAAGTTTAGCCGAGGTAGGTCGGGTGAGGTGTATATGGGCCGGGGAGCTGGGCGGGGGAGATAAGGCGATCAATGTGGCTAGTGTTAGCTAACTTCCTCTCTTTCTATCTTCACATAACGCTGAAGCGTCTCATCTTAGTTTCCGACCACCTTTCATCCCTTGTCCTTCCCGGTCTCTCTCCTTCAAGGTCCTTCGCTAAGGAACTCGATGAATGATACAACCAGCTTTATCATAAACAAAGTGTTCTTGGAGAAGTCGGCGAGACCAGGAACTTCCGTCCCTATCGAGACTTAAACCGCCTATTTTACACCTGGACGTAAGCGTTCTACTTTTATCCAAGTCTGTAATGTTACCACAGTGAATGTGCCCCTAACTCTTGCACTTTGTATTCCATTCCAAACCTAGCTCCCCCCCCCCCTCCCCGCCACAAAACAAAACATAGAAGGAGAATTTTCATGGGGGTGCCGCTGAGGGATGCCTTTTTAATTAAAAATTCAACTCATTGACAAGCAAAGAATCAAGAAAGTCATTTCATTTTTAGTTTATTTTTTCCTATCCAAAATTCTCGTCAATAAAACAATGAAAGAAAGGTCGTCACAAGTTATGTTGTACCGCCTTTTAAACTAAAAGATATGATGGCAGCACCCAGCAGGTCCTGCAACACGTTTTGCACCATTCCGGGCACCATCTTTGGGGGGGGGGGGGCGGCGTTTAAACACCCCATCATCCCCAGCTCCCAGAATCATGCCACTCATTATGGTGCTTATCGTGACCCTAAACCTAACCCTATATTCTGGACAGCTTCTGTAGTTGTTCCACCGCTCTCCTCCTTCACATCATCATAAGTTTCTCTTTATCATCCTTTGGCTATTCTCTCTTTCTCTTTCTCTCTCTCTCTCTCTCTCTCTCTCTCTCCCCCCTCCCTCCTTCCCTCAAAACACACTCGCTGGAGATGGTGTTGAAGGGGGGGGGGGAGGATTAACTTTTCAGTTTCTGCGAGCGAGGTAATAAACGAGAAAACTTGTACATCTTCGTGATCTTCTTGCAATGAAAATGAAATGGTGTCATAAAAACAAAAGTAATATATTAAAATGATAAGAATGGACCACCTCACTGCAAGTCGGACAAGTCATGCTTTCTATATAGCTCTGCTAGCCATACATACTTCATTTATTCTCCTTTGTTTGATGATAATCACTGTTTTTTATGGTTGAAAACGTGTTGTTAGTGTATGTTGCATGCTAGTGGTATGAATATGGGTCTAGTATATATTAGTTAATGTTGAAGTTTAAATCTGGCCTTTTAGAATGTATAAAAGGAGAAAGATCGATCGATCGGGAGAGGGGTGGGGGTCAAAAAATGGAGCCTTGTATCCACCCCGGTGTACGCAACCCCAAACCCTTTCTCCTTTATAACATTTTTTTTTAAATTTTTGAGGAGACGGTTTGACAGGGTCTATATCGGTGTGTTGATCGGAGTCTAGATTAAAAGTATGAATTTGCTCAACTAGGTGACGTTCTCTAAAATTAGAAATTTCCCAAAGTGGGTGGCGGTGTGGGTTGAAGTACTTTTTAAGCCGAAATCAAAGTCCCTCTCAAGAAAGAAAAGTACAAAGTTTATTATGATTATAATCAGATCGCAGTTCTCGCCTCCGTAGAAACGTCTACTTCGTTTATTAATATTAGATTGAAGTATATTTTTTTCCTGAAGGTTTTCATACACATAAGAGAAGCACTTCCCGTTCAAACATGGAAAAGGAAAGACGGAAAAACAAAATGACATTTAAAGCCCGTCTGTACTAGTTTGGCCAGTGGGATTAGACCTACCTGCAAGGTCACTGACAGGTGCTTATCTCATCAAATCAGCTCTCAATTAACATAAGAAAAAGGGGATCATGGGGGACCAACAGGCACCGATGGGGCATTGTTTGATATATAGAGGGCGCAAGTAGCTATAAGTATAGTGCAGTGGGGATTAAAGTACTTAAAAGTTTGTATTATGTGAAATAGATCTATTTCCTTTAAAATTGTAGTCATTCGAATTCGTCCGTTGCTGTTGAACACTTTTAGATACTATCTCAAACATCACTCTCAAAACACTTTTCTTATAATAATTTCACCCCAACAAATCCTGACTGACCAAAGCGACATAACTTGTATTTGTCACATTCTAAAAATATATATGCTTCTATTATTGGCCTATACTGTCTACTACTACTACTACTTCAACTACTATTACTATTACTACTACAGCTACTACCAATATAATACGATTTAACTACTACTATTACTACTACTACTACTACTACTACTACTTCTACTACTACTAATACTACTACTCCATTTATTTTCTTATATTATTCCACTATGTACAAACGATTTATATCCGTGTTTCCATATATCGTCGTCATTGTAACTTTGCTACTGTGTATTATCTATTATTTTATATAATATATTATTTTCTATTGTATATTGTTCATGTGCTTTGTGTAATGCCCACAACTGAATTTCCAAATGGACCAATAGAATTAATCTGAATCTAAATCTGAATCTTAACTACTACTTCTTCTACTAGCTTCTACTTCTACTACTACTACTACTACTACTACTACTACTACTACTACTACTACTACTACT